GTGTCCGTACCTGAGGCATACGCATACAATGAAAGCTAAATTTCAACTTCTAGGGTTTAACATTAAAGTGAAGTGTCATACCTAACTTTTTGCTTTCCATCTTGCCGGTTTTCGAGGCAGAAAATTCCGCGCTGAAATTCCACATGTCCATGCATGAAGCTTAAGTATAAATGGGGGCTGAATTTAAATTTTTCGGGATCACACATGCCCTTGGAATATTACCTAAAATTTCATCTTCTTTGCTTTGCTGGTTTCCAAGTTAATGATTTGCGCATCAAAAACTTGACTGGCGGTATATGAAGCCTAGACGTAAGTGAACCGAAAACTTCACTTTTGTACGTGACACCACCGAAAATTGCAGCATAGTAGCTTTTCAGGTTCCTAAATTAAAGATTTTCTCGCCAAAACTTCCACACGACCGTGAGTGAATCCCAGGCATTCCAGGCCTACTGTAGACAATCCCTTTTCCAATCCTCTCCAAATGACGCATAAAAGTGTTGGAAAAAAAATGAGAGGTACACAAACAAAGTCAAAGAAACTAAATTATTGCTTCTTCAAAAATTTAAAAAATTTCCGAGGACACCAGAAGGATTGAACCCAGGCCGGAATGCACCAGCGTTGCTGGTGCGATCATGCGTTTTTGCACCAGACTTGAAGTACTCAGGTCGATAACTCATTAATGTTTGTTGCTTTGTACCTACCATTTTCGCTTACTGGCATAAATCATCGTAAACTTTGCATAAAGGAAATGAACAATTTCCGTCTAGCGATATTCCTTGAAAATGATCTAACTGTTTAGCGAGCAGCTTTTATGCCAAAACTTTATGTGCCCGTGCGCATATCTGGAGGCTGGATTTGAAATGTTTAAGTTGTACTTGAACAGGGAACATTGACCTAAAATTTTAGCCTTCTAGCTTTTCTGGTTCTCGAGTTAGCAGTTTTCCCGCCAAAACCTTCAGTTGCCCATACGTGAGTCCCGCACGGTTCTAACGAGTTGAACTTGAAGTCCTGTGGTTGCATATGAGTGTTGAACATTACCCTAAAGTTTCAGCCTTCTGACTTTTTTCGTTCCCAAGCTAACGATTTTCCCGCCAAAATTTTCAGACGCCCGTACACGGGGCCGAGACGCGTATGCGTCCTGGAATGGCACTTGGCCGGGGAACCAATTGACAAAATTTCAGCGCCGTAGCTTGCTTAATTTCCGGGTTGAAACACTCGGACAGACTAACACACACTCACACAGACATGCCCACACACTATGGGCTTGTCACAATATGCTTTTACGCAATTGCTTGTATGCAAAAGTGCATGAAAACGAGGAATACAGAAACAAAGCCGGAGATGCTAAATTAATGCTTAAATTTGCAAAAGCGGTTGCGCAGCGAGCAGGGTTCGAACCTGCGCGGGCAAAGCCCATTGGATTTCAAGTCCAACTCCTTAACCACTCGGACATCGCTGCAATGACTACGGCTCCTTCCATTAATAGTCTAATTCGTTTTCAAAACTACTAGTTGTGTTGGATATTTATGTTTTCAGGCCGATCCGAACATCAGGATGAGGTGTTTTTTGTGGGTAGTAC